TTGTCAGTTTGTTATGATACTGGTTGTCAGTTTGTTATGATACTGGTGGTCAGTTTGTCATAGTACTGTTGGTCAGTTTGTTATGATACTGATGGTCAGTTTGTTATGATACTGATGGTCAGTTTGTTATGATACTGATTGTCAGTTTGTTATGATACTGATGGTCAGTTTGTCATGATACTGATGGTCAGTTTGTTATGATACTGATGGTCAGTTTGTTATGATACTGATGGTCAGTTTGTTATGATACTGATTGTCAGTTTGTTATGATACTGGTTGTCAGTTGTTCATGATACTAGTGGTCAGTTTGTTATGATACTGATGGTCAGTTTGTTATGATACTGATGGTCAGTTTGTTATGATACTGATGGTTAGTTTGTTATGATACTGATTGTCAGTTTGTTATGATACTGATTGTCAGTTGTTCATGATACTAGTGGTCAGTTTGACATCATGATACTATTGTAGCCATGGTGACATATTTTATCATAGTGTTCAATTTGACACCTTGATACCCTGGATTCCATCATGATGATCAATTTGATGTCATATGATACTATCGTGGATGAGATGGTAAATTTGACATCACAATGATACCAATAATGTTTTTTAAGGCAAATTTATTTTTTCATCAGAGTGGAATTGGATACAACCTTAGACAAATAAGGAATTTTACCAGTGTACTCAGTACACAAAGGTTATTTTTTAGTTCTATCATTCGACATAATGGCTTTTCTTTTGTTAATTTTACAGTCAGCAACACATCAAAGAACTTTGGAAGAAAATAAAGTCAAGTGAACCAGAATTGTTGGGTGATTTTGAGGATTTCATACAAAAAGTATCAAGTGACATTCGTAAAGCAAGAATTGATAGTGATGAGTTGGAAAGTGCTCTTAGAAAGTAAGTATGAGTATTAATTGTGGGTGGTCAGGTGAGAGGTATAATTCTGTGAGACCGCTGATTTAATTGTATTAAGTTGAAATACTAGTGTATGCACAGATATTGTCTCTGTTAAAAAAGTCATATTGTAATGATTGAGCTTGTCATGATACATGTTTGTCACTGCAATTTTGGTTTATGTGCGCTTCTGTTGGGAATGTGCTTCCTAAAAGAGCAAGTAACATGCTTCTCATGTTTTTTAATAATGTACGATTTCTTGAAATTTCTAGAAAATTTTACTAATGAGAGAATATATCTTGACATTTCTCAATCTTCTTTTTATTTATTCTTTGTGTCAAGCTAGTAAATTTGAAAATGAGCGAAAGAATAGTGGGTCACCAGACTCGTTTGTATCAAAATTTTGAGGCATTTTGATATAATCCCCCTGGCTTTGAGATCCAAAATGGTGGTCATTTTGAAAAAAAAATTAATGAACTACCAGTATATGACATTTACATGCCAAAAAGTTGCCTAATTTTTTTGAAACTATAAAATATGTGGTAAACTCAATCCAACTTTTCTGATTTCAATCATCTCAGCACTTGAGATGACTTACACTTTCATTCAAATATAAATTCCATCTATTTTACTTCAACATTTCGTATTATTTCAATATGGCAGACACATGGTCTGCATTCGAAAAGTGTGTAAAGTTATTGGTGCATCAACAGAATACATGAATTTAATTGATAAAACTGTAGAAAATACATGGTGTATATGATATATGATTAGGTTTTAAGTAGAAATCCATTGAGTTTTGTGAACATGTGTGTACTAATATAAATAGAAACCTCAGGTTTGTAAGGACGAGGGAGAAAATACTAGTAGTTACTTATTGTCTGAAAATTGATATATAATATTTACTAACTTAGGGGGTCAGAATATATTTTCGGCACTGGTATCTTGTTGTAGGGCAAAGTTCAAACTCTGCAATACTTGGCAGAAAGAGTTCAGATATAGATGTCAGTGGAGCCCCTGCTCGACTGGTGTTTCCAGCATGTAATTGCCAGGTGACGTTATAATACGTGTCTTTAAATTATTCATATGTCATGTTTCATATTGTTTGTTAGCTTCATGTAAGCGTAACCCTCTCTATAATTACTGGTACATTTTCAACCCCAAAGTTACTTAAATGTTGTTGACATGATTTTTTCATTAGGGATTTCATAGTCATTTTGCTATTATAGTCACTTAATAGTCTGTCTACATTAGTGTATTGTTAGTGACAACAATTGATACTGGTACATATTCAACATGTCAGTTTGAATCTGAACCTATGTGAGAACTTAGATTTGGAGCTATTAGGCCAAATATGATGTGCATGCTGTAAAGATCACTTTGAAATATATGCATTTTGGCTTAAAACATAAAAAATTAAATGATTTAACATTTACAGTCTAGACTTCTGTTTTTTAAACTTGAATAACTCCCTTGAATTGGCAACAGTTTAGAACCTGGTTAAATATTAAGCTAACCAAATGTAGATAAAGACGCTTTAATGCGTACATGCTTTTATCCACGATATATGCTGAAGAAAATCCCACTGAAATTACATTATGCAATCTAACTTTTACTTTTTTCTATAATGGTCCATGCATGTGTTGATCATACAACCCCGCTCTATAAAATAATCACATAACTACATATAGCTGTAAACAGTTTTATATCAGTTTAGATGCGTGTTGCGTCATGTTTTATGAAAAAAAAGCTTCTTATGGGTATGTGAAATGATGAGAAGTGTCCTGTTTACCATTTCCTGTGCTGAATCATTAATCTATTGTTACTTTGTTGAATGTCAATATTTAGAAACTATAAAATCATTGATCCTTTTGTAGACACTCAATTACAAACACCCTCAATTGACCTGTGCTGCCATGGTACTATTGAACTCTGAAATGATTTGACTAGTCACTCATGCGGACACTTAATTCAAGTATTGTTTGATTCTGTTGCATTCTTCTTCCCTATGAGAATTTCACAATAAAACAAAACATTTTTTTATTGGTTTCAACTATATTTAATTTATATTTAATATAGTGCTTTCTTTAAACCATAAAGAAAATGTTTTTTGGCAAGAAACAAAATTCAATTTTGGATTATATGTTTACTATACGGTACATCTGACTATAAAATAGTGTCCAAGTGCCAACAATATTTTCTTATTTGATGTTTATTTGAAATATGCCATAGTATGTATGCACAAAACATAGTACTGTCAAATACTTTATTTTAGCTGGAAATAATTTTTGCTGAAAATACATTTTGGCTGTTTTGTATGGAGTTTCACCCTTCAGCGAAATCATTGAACAAATAAATTCTAAGCGAAAAAACGTATTTTACAGTAAATGTTGTCTGCATGTATTGATCTTTTCCACCAATGTAGTCAAGAACCACTTGTCACATTTCAAGGTGCATTGGAATAATAAAACATAATAATTAGTCCATTATTTGGTTTTTGCCGTAATTCCAAAAGCACTCCTTGGACTGAGTGGAACATGGTGATTGTATAAACTTAATTATTTTATCAGAAATGTGGTAAAAAATAATTCATCATTATACTATTTAGATACATGTTGACTATAGTGTGTAAGAACTGGGTTCATTTTTCTTTAACCTGATTGGATTGTCACATTTTAATTTTTGCATTCTGTGTTTAATTTCAGTCGAGCTTATGCTCATGACGAAGAAGTTCGGAAACTTTATGAAGAAATGGAAATCCAAATCAAAGCTGAAAAAGAAAAGATTTTAAATGAGGTATCAATTTGTATAACCTTAATTTTCCCCTAGAACTGTAATATTGCACTCGTGCCTTATTATGGCAATGCCACTATACATTATAAAGCTCACAAATACCATTTTTCTCCCACATTTAGGAAAAAGGAAAAGAGAGGAAAATTAGAGAAGAAATGTCACAAGAACTTTTACGAAAGGAACAAGAGGTTCAAGAACTTCTGCAGAAGCAAAAAGATGTAAGCAGTTTATACTTGCATTCATTTGCCGTTTTAGCTCCACTGTTGACTTTAGCCGTCAGATCGGAGCTGCGCTACTACTAATTGTTTATTGTTGTCAATTTTCGACTTTTTCTTAAAAATTGCAAGTCCACTTGCTTTGATGCTTGGTATATATTTACATTGGCTAGACTTATCTCAGATTTGTTCATTTCATGAAAATATCTTCAAATTTCTAATTTGAATATCTCTAATCTCTAATGAATATTTTTGTCATTTTTGGTAAAAATGCTATTTTTGATTTCTTTTTTGAAAAAAACAGCTTGCTTGTTTAGGCCAGACTTTTTTTATTCCTTGTTTCTCGAGTTTTTATAAAGCAATTTTTTTGAGGAGGGCGGAAAAAAATAAAATTAATTCTTTTTTCCCATTAGATTTGTGTGATTCTCAAAGAATTGTAAGTGAGATCATTGATCAGAGAGAAGAAATAAGATAAAATTGTATTTCATGTATAACCTTGTTTCTCATCTGCGCAAGACTTCGGTCTCCCACGATACTCCCACGAAAATGCAACTTGGGTTTGTTATGTGGTGGGTGGAAAAAAAATGAAGATAAAAATAAGTTTTTTTTAACAATTTTTTGCACTTACAAGTCGGCGGGCGCGAGAAATTACGCTGAAATAAAATTTTATTTTTATTTCATTTCTGACTCCTGTTCATTCGGCGAGTTCGGCCTTACTTCAATATTTCGTATGTAGACACCCCAAGTGACCCTCTGACTGGCTTGTTCATTTCAGGACAATAGGTTTAATTTTCTACTTTTAGTGAATATTTATGTTGTTTTTGGTAAAAATGCTATTTTCAACAGTCAAAATATGCAGCAAAGATATATCAGCCGACTGGCTGCTTGTTTATTTTTGACGAGTGTTCAGGTGTGTTCTAGGTGTATTTGACGAGTGTTCAGGTGTGTTCTAGGTGTATTTGACGCGTGTTTCAGGTGTGTTCTAGGTGTATTTGACGCGTGTTCAGGTGTGTTCTAGGTGTATTTGACGCGTGTTTCAGGTGTGTTCTAGGTGTATTTGACGCGTGTTCAGGTGTGTTCTAGGTGTATTTGACGCGTGTTTCAGGTGTGTTCTAGGTGTATTTGACGAGTGTTCAGGTGTGTTCTAGGTGTATTTGACGCGTGTTCAGGTGTGTTCTAGGTGTATTTGACGCGTGTTTCAGGTGTGTTCTAGGTGTATTTGACGCGTGTTCAGGTGTGTTCTAGGTGTATTTGACGCGTGTTTCAGGTGTGTTCTAGGTGTATTTGATGAGTGTTCAGGTGTGTTCTAGGTGTATTTGACGAGTGTTCAGGTGTGTTCTAGGTGTATTTGACGAGTGTTCAGGTATACTTAAGGTGTATGCATGAAAAGATTCCAATTTGATTTCAAATCAAATTTTGGTGATTTGGTGAATTTTTGTTAACCACTTATTCAATTTACCGGTAGTTAGTTTCAGCTGTTTTGAAGTGGAGTGTGCTAATTCACCATGTTCTCTGTGATGTGTCTATATAGATGCCATCATAGTCTATGTTATCACAGTGTATGAATCATTAATATTTATTTATTAATATTTGTTTACAGTTGGAGACGAAACTTCAAGAAATGAATGCAACACAATCAGAAATAGCAACAGAAAATGAAGAGCTTGCAAAGGTAACTTATTAAATTACTGTTTTGTGAAAAAAAAGTGTTGAGCTATCAACAAATATTGTCATTCATCATTATTTTATTTGCCAGTCCCATCATGCATCATACTATGATTCCATTCGATTATTCATCAATCCCATCATGCAGTAGTCCCATCATGCAAAATAATAATAAACATGTTATTTTTACAGTATAACGAGAGTCTCCAAGATAAATTAGAAAACACATCAATTAGTTTAGTTGAAGCTAAGCAGTACTTAAAAGAAATACAAGAAAAGGCATTGAGAGAAAAAAGGGAAAGGGCACAGTAAGTATAGGCATTGATTTATAAATAATTTATTTTGAAGAAAAAAAAATAGATGGAATATTAGCTTGTCTAAATTGACTTTGAGATGTTTTTTTTCTTATTAAAGGCAGTTTACAGGAACTAAGTATCGAAAGATGCAAATTAGTAACAATAGTGGTTACAGCATTATACCTGTGGCTAGCAGCCTGATAAACCATCATGATGATTTTTTATTGATTTGTTTTTTTGTTTCAGGGCTGCATTAAAAGTAACTGAAGGTATTGCACAAGAAAGAGAGAGTCTAGTTCGACAGTTAGATATGCTAAGGTAAGTGCAATACATATCTACATACTATTGTATCATTAGTGTATAATGATGTCATATACATGTACATAGTGGTACAATGTCTCATTGTATATTTACTGTGTACTAATTTTTGTAATTGGAGAGTGGGCCATTGCCATTACTGTTGTGTAATTTCCATGTTGAGTACTTTGTAATGTTTTTATTACTGTTTTGTAATGTCCTTATTACTGTTTTGTAATGTTTTTATTACTCTGTTGTGATGTTCTTATTACTGTTTTGTAATGTCCTCGTGGCTGTTGTGTAATGTGACTTTATTACAGATTACTATTGTGTATACTAATTACTAATGTGTAACATTCATTAATACTGAGTAAAATACTTGTCACTACAGTCTAA